CTTCGTATGATAAATAATATTTTATTTTTGGATGAAATGAACTGAACAGAAAATATGAGTATAGCTCTTTAAGAGCTCAGAGCAGCATTTAGCATGTAGCAAGACCTATAAACATATTTGATTAGTAAATAAGTACATAAGCAAATAAAGAAAAAAATCCTTTAAGATGGTGCTCCTACTGAGTACTTTAGAGGGAATTGGTATGGTGGCTAAGGGCTGTGAAATAAAAAAACAAAAAACAAAAATTTCTGTGGAGAGAAAGAATCTCTTTACAAAGGTTTTAATTTAGAAAAAATAGCTGAGCAAGGGCAGAGCACTTTGGCATTCAAGTATTAATGTTGGGCACCTTCTGCATTCTGATAAGACAGTGGCAATTGGTATTGTAATAAATCTGACTTTCTAAGGAAAGATCACTTATTAGTAATAGGGTATAATCAATTTTGCACAAATTTTCCACTTGTACATATCTTATTTAGTCATATATGTATCAGTATTTGTTAGTCTATGAATAGTATGTCTTACTTTTTTAAACTAGTTTCCAGACACATGATTTAAGTTATTCTTGAATTGGCTAGACCTGTCTGTGGTATTAGTCTTCATACATAATGCTTGGCATCTACTTACTTCTGATGCGTTAAGACATGAAGACTGGACTGAAATGATTTGGTAGCTCCTGAGAAAGAGCATGCCCTTCAATGAATTACACAGAAAAAGGGAGGATTAGGCTTATGTTTTAATGTTTAGAACTCATATTCTCCTCAGTTCCAAAAATGAATTGCACTAACAATGCACAATTGCGAATATGGCAAATTTTCCAAACAATAAGCAATGGCTAAAATGCCACCTTGAAACACTAAATCTTTCACAGCAGCAAAACAACATTCAATCCCTACAAGAACAGAATAGTTTGCTTCAGGAAAACTTCTGATAAATTTGATTTATGATGATATCTCAAGAAGAGAGTTCTAGAGAAACCAGCAGCAGAGTGGCAGGGAAGTAGGAACTGTAAATCAACCATGCCCTTATCCAACCACTACATATGTGTATTTGTGGGGAGCCCACCATGTGCCAGGCGCTGTGGAAGGAGATAAGGGTGTAAAGGTGAGCAGACAGGCACAGTTCTTGCGCTTGGAGAATTTAGAATTGCTGGGAGACCATTGAGTGTTGGCAACACGGGCATGCACACACTCATACACATATACATGTGCAAATGTAATTATGAATTTTGAAAATATATTGGGTAAAAGGTGAAGAGTGCTATAGGACAAGCATAACAAGGAGATGGAATTTAGACTGGAGGGACAAGGACAATTTTTCTGTGGCGTCTCATATAGCTGACATGAACTACGAGAAGGAAATATCAGGTGCAAAATGAGGGAGAGGAATTCATGAGTGAAGGCCTGAGTTCGGAAGGCACTTAGCTTTCTTCCAGAACTGTCATAGGAGCACAGTGAGAAAGAATGGCAAGCGACAGAGCCCAAGAGGTCGGCAGGGCCCTGATTGTGCAGCATCTTATAGATTATGACGGGAAATGGCTCATGAACCACAACTGTATGACAGTAATTGCTTTCCCAGTGAATGCGAAGTTATGGTGTCCTCAGCAGTACAAACAACTACCCTTGATTCAAGAAGTCTTAAATAGCTTTAGTTTTGAGAGTCATAGTTTTAAAATAGGATTGATTATAAGTTATGTAAAGACACAGTCTTTTACTTGGGTATCCTCCGGGTCCTCTTTCAGCCATGGGTATGGTTGTATTTGCAGAGCTGAGCCTAGATAAGGCATTGAGCCTAGATAACTCATTTGCATTGAGCACATACAATATCAAGCCCATAACATGCACTCTCTCAACAAACCCTTATAACCACCCTGGGAGGTAAATGTTATTATCCTCATTTTAAAGACAAAGATACTGAGTCTCAGGAAGGTAGTGAATTTCCAAAGATGAATGAATGGAAGAGACACAATTCAAATTTGGGTCTCTTTTAAGTTTGAGAAATTTCTACTGCTGTGTAACAATTCCTCAAGGGACACAACTCAAGAAGCATACTTGCTGTTGGACCTCCTGAAACGACAGTAAAAGGTCCCTGTAGATGCCAGCAACCTCTATTCACTTCATCTGCTCAGTCCTCCCTTTATTCATAAGTTCAGGTATTTGAACATTTAAGCATTTGCTTAATAAGCATTAAATAAAGACTTACTAATACACCTGATACCACTGAGGAGTGGAAAAGATAAAGGAAAGGGAAGACATAAAGACATAAAACTCAGGATCTGCCTTCAAGGAACTCATACTATTAGGAAAGCTAAGTCTCATATACACATGACTGTAAAACAGTGGAGAATGTGTTGGGTCACAAGAGAAATACACTTTAAGATTAATTCCTGGTAGGCCTTTGAAATGCAGGTATGATGTTGGTGGATAGAGTGGTAAGAGGAGGGTGTTCCAAAACAGGCAGCTATAATTTGGAGGGACATTTGCTCTAAAGCCATTTCAGCACCTTTCTTCTCAGAATAGCGAAACTGAAGGAGCACAGAGCCCTTTGCTCTTTACGGGGACCCATAGTCAAACAAAATATATTTGGCTGAAATGCATTCTTCATAGCCCAAATAAAATATTTTTAATACTTCTCTAGATTATAGAGTTTTTATTTTCTCCATAAGTATTTTTTTAAAGATTTCTGATGTACCACGGCTGCAGCCTGCTCCTGGGGAGTTACACAGGAAGGAGCAAAAGAGGCTCCTGATTCCAGATTCTGATTTGCGCTTGGTCACTGGGTGGTACTGTGTATTTGGTAGCTCTACCCGGAAGGCTTCTGAAATTCCAGCAAATCCCCTAAGGTATAGGCCTAAGAGGGTGGGGAATGTGGGGAGAACGGCTATGGACTCAGGCTTTCTTGAGGTAAATATGATCAATTCTTAGGCCCTCAATGTGATTGATTCCTTACCTACTTTTCACTGATGTCATGTAAGTCTAATGAGGAGGGATTGAAGTAAGGAAAACCTTCCAAAATGTTTTGTTGTGTTTTCAATAAACAGTTTCCAGTAGCTCAGCTTGATAGGATGTGGTAAGGGAAGAGGAAGAGGAAGTGGAGATAAGGCGAAGATAATGGAAGCTTAGAAAAGATCAAATTATGGAATTTAGATTTTCTGTAGTAGGCAACACAGAAAATCATGGATCTTGAAGTTTTTGTTTTCCTTCTTTTTTTTTTGACAAGTAACTAGATTCCTAGTTAGAGGAAATAAATTGAACAGGATAGTATTTTCTTTCCAATTATAGAAATAAATCTTATACACAGAAGATGTTATGGGTTATTGTTTATTTTTAACCTCTTTCAAGAGCTATTATATTTTCAGTCTATGGTTTCCCTAGATTATTATTGTAACAGTACTGTTAGGGGAGTTAATCCCACAATGAATCCCCACAGAGTCAACAAAATTGCAGTCCAGCCAACATTTTAATACCCACACAAACATTTACGTATTCCAACTGTCCTTCCAACTAAAATTCATTTCCTTTTCCAATCTCACAAAGGAAATATTCTCTCCTGATGTTTCCCTTGATATGTAAGGTTAAAAAATTAATTGTTTCTTTTCTTTTTAAGAGCATGTTCAACATGGGGGCTTTTGATATCTCTATAGTCCAGCCATCTTCCAAGTCAGATTTTAATAATATGATGACCCATTACATTTTGTTTCAAAATTAGTTTTTGCAAGAAATCAAAGATGGGGAGGATCTTTATTAATTATCTATTTTTTAAAACGACCATTCTCTCTCTTGCCCTTTCTCCCTTCCTCTCCATAGAAGTTGAAAGGAGATATTAGAGAAAGGACTGAAAGCCTTTAAAAAGTCCATTCTAAATGTTCTCTTCCATTTAGATTTGTTCTCTTTTCTCTCCTGTAGTATAATAGTAAGGTTTTAGTAGTATTTAATCTCAAATAATTCTCTTTGTTGAGCAATTAACATTTCTATTTTTCAGGTCATTTTAAATCATCACATGTGTGTCAAATGTAATTTAATAAAATTATATTTACTTACAATTTTGACTTCGAAATGACCTGTAAAGTAAGAAGCCAATCTAAAATAAAATGCAATTTGGTGGCTACCTAAAAACTAGGACCAAGAGCCCTCACCAAACCCAACCATACTGGAACCCTGATCTTAGACTTCCAACCTCCCAAAGTGTGAGAAAATAGACTTCTGTTGTTCAAGTCACCCGTCCATATTATTGTGTTACGGCAGCCCAAGCAGACTAATACAGTGACTGTCCCCATTTTGTGGGTTAGGATGCAAACTGAGGGGTCAGTGGCAAAACTGGCATTTGAACCTGAGTGTGTCTGACTGAAGCTCACTCTTTGGATTGCCCTCTGAATTTCAAAACAGAAAATAAGGATATAGATAGTCTTTTAAAAAATACCAAACCCTTCCTCTGTTGTTGTTTGTGTGTCTTTTATTTTTAGTAGGTTTAGCAGATACAGACAAAACCAGCTGATTTTGTTCTTTCCTATTCATTATCATCTGATTTGTGTGTTCTAGCAGGATGGCATTCAAGCTCTCCAAATTCCAGATTAATGGTGAAAAATGTAGCCAATCTTCCTGAAATTGTGATGTTGAAAAGTCTGAAAAGATTTACTATTGCTCTATTTGCTTTTTGTAAAACGTATTAAATACAAAATATCCAGTATTGTGCCTGAAACTAATTGGCAGTGTCCCATTAAACCATATTAAAATTAACATCTATTAATTGGATTAGAAATTCAGTGAGAATGACAGCTGCTAGTGCCTTTTACAGTTACTTTGTTTCTCTATAATCCATATGGCAGAAATCACATAATGCTTTTTTTTCCCCCATTGAAATAAACACTTGAGATAAAAAGGTTTGACTCACTATGGTCAGGATATGTGCATTTATTGTTCCTTCTTTCTTTAATTTTTCTTTCTTCCTTTTTCTTTTTCTTTTTTTTTGGAAAAGCTTAACTATCTTTTTTTCCTCTTTCACAGGTTTTCACCAGCCATATTTTTATATCTGACTAGCATTGTTCCATCATTATGGCTTCTTGAAACGCACCATGAGACCCAGGTACATCCTTTTGTAAAATAGGAAAGTGGGATGTTCAGCAATAAACTATTTTCATATTATAATCTAATTTGTGTCAGAAATGCACTTTTCTAAGGAACTGGAGCTATTGGGAACTGAATAAATAAGGGGTCATCAGCAAAAAACAGTGAGTCCATGATCTGTCAAAGCCAGTAAATATATTACATTCATTTAAGACTTAAGATTGTATAATTAACAATTTGTGTTAGAGCGCTTGTTCCTAAGAACCCCACCCCCCAATATGCTAGAGTTTGCATGGGAGTGTAAAAATTTGTATTTTACTCTTGCAGCTTCAATGAGTTTCTATATTGGGCTAAGAATGGGCAGGGTGCAATAATCTAGCATTCTACAAAATGACATTTTTAGGAACAACAAATACAAAAACAAACCTCATTATCTGTACTCTTGCTATATGAATACAATCAAACTTGGAGGGGCTATTTGAAATAGCCTGTCTTAAAATGCAGGCTTTGCAGATTACAGGAGATTCACTTTTGAGGTTCCCATGAGATGTTTCAGTGAAATAGGAATTCTATTCTAAAGCCCCAAAATCAGGGTAAAAGAGTCATGGGGAAAGGTGGGCTATATATAATAGAACCACACTGACCCAGAAAATAAATGATGGCTTCCAATAAGAGACATTAATCTATGTAGAGAGGAAGGTGCTGAATTCTAAGTGAGTTGCTTCTTACTTGGGCAATTCTAGTAGGAGGCTCTAGGCTGGATTCAGTCATTTCTTGTTATTAATGAATTGATACAACACGGGGGAAGCCAGTTAGTAAAGTGCATCCGACTCCAGCCTGGACTTAACATCATCAGGATTCAAGTTGCAGGACTGTGTTTTACAGATGAACCATAGTTATGACATAATATTATTTTATTATCTTCTCTAATAAATTATTTTAGGGAATATCTGTGAGAATTTGTCTCTCTACAGATTTCTTTGCTACAGTTGGTCATTTTATAGCAAAGTTAAGCCTCCTGTATATGTTTCAGATATCCAAACCTTATCTGGAAAATACTTGCTCCAAATTTTAGGCACACAGAGGGGAATTTAGCTACGTGGACTATTTTTGAAGAATCCCACAAGTATGTACCAAACATATAGACATGAAGAAAATATTTCTCTGCCTTAAATCTCTTGTTTAAAAACAATTAAAGTCATGGGCTATCTCTATGTCTGTAGCAAAAAGTATTTTTATAATAGTAGATTGGTTGGTTCAAGTTATCATGGCTTTTAAAAACTGTACCATAGGGAGTTAGGGGACTGTTTCAATTTCCTTACTACTTACTACTTTCAGGGGTATGGAAATAAGCTCTGGTGATTTGAATCATTTTTTCCTTCACATCCAATTCTACGACATGGCTATCATCCACAATAACAATTCATTTCCCCAAATGCTTTTATAATATAAATGCATGGCACAGTTAATTGATATACAGGTCAAATCCCATTACAACAAATAGCCTGCAACCAAAAGCTCTCTTTTTAATAAAAAAAAGATTTTTGAGCTCCTCGCAGAACCTCTCTAATTTTCATGCTACAAAAGAAATTGGACCCTTTAGTAGTAATGGATTTGACTCATTTTGACACTAAGAATTAAAATGAATGCCCAGAGATTGAATTGGGCAGGGTGGGCAGAGATGGAAATAGAAAAAAAGTGAGAGAAAAAGAGACAAAATGGTATTTAAACTGCATTTAAAGAAATAATAAATGGCAGAATAAAGGGAGATACAGCAATTCTATCCATTCATTTAAGAAATTTTGGTTGTGATAATAATCACTTTTCTTCTGATTTCAAAGTGTTTTCAGATCTGTTTTGTCATTTACGAACCCAGCAACTCCGTAAGTTGGGCATGGTCTTTACATTTCTGTTTTATAGAAGAGGATCCGAGACTCAAAAAGATTAAGTAATTTTCTCAAGGCCACACAGCTAATTGACAACATCCTGAGGCTTAGAACCTCATCTTTGACCCCTACTCTGTTAATCACACTGCCTTTCTCAGTTATGTTTTCTATGTTTTAGAGGAATTAGCATCAAAAACGCCTAAATTTTTCATGGCAAGAAAGAGTAATTTTATTTCCATTTACTCTAAATCCTAAATGTTCTAATTTAACCTATGACTTGACCTTAGGAAAACATCCTGACCCTATTTCATAAAGACATTTCTCCTAGATGATCAATTCTGTACCTGCATTCCTGAATCTTGCTAGTTCTACATGAATGGAAACAAAATGGTTATGATAACAAGTATGACCTTCACGCTTAGGTTTATTTATGAAGTGGAATAGTGAAAGCAATGGAAACTTTCAGGTCTTGATGGGGTCACTCTGCTTTGACCCAAAGGAGTATTTTTGAAGCTAATAAGAATTTTTAAGATGTAGCCCATGGAAAAGTGGTTTGTTGGCACCCAGATCCTCTACATGACCTCACACACACAATGCTGAATGTAAACAATATTCCCGTAAAATCTATAAGAGTCAGGTTAGGTTTTAGGAGTCAAACCAATTGCTCTTTGCAGTCCTAATGCAGCTGCTGCTTAAAGGAAAGTCTCATTAATGTATAACAAATAGAATTACAAGAGTGGAGTGGGACTCAGGTAGGTTATAGTTATCATAATATGGACTAAAAACTATTTACTACCAAGCTATCTTATACCGTAGTGCAGACAACTTTTTAACAACAACAAGATGTCCATGGATTTTCGGTGATAAGGATGTAAAAAAACATATCAAGGTCACCACAATCTGCTTTCATGCCTGCAAACAAAGTGGTCAAAATTTGTTTCCTATTGACCATTTGGTTCGAGTTACAAAACTACGCTGCAATGAGGATTTGTTACTTGGTTCAAATATTTAATTTTTTATCTGTATTATCTTTTCTTGGGGTTTTAGCTGTATAAAAAAGTGTGCAAACAGCTGCATTTTGCTCTTAGAGAGATGGCACATAGTCATTTTCATTAATTATTCTTGTCATTTCACCTGTAACACTAGTTGTTCTGATGGAGGGTAGAAGAAACTAGCTTCTTGACAGACTTTCTTTTCTACTTTTAAAAATATCTCATAGAATGATCGATGGAGCACCCAGAATAATTAAGAAAAATAACTTTTTCCAGCTTTAGCATTTTAAAAAAATAGTTTCTCTGTATATCTGAATATGTGATCATGGATGGGTGGTGGTGGTAGTGGTGGTGGTGGTGGCTTGTATGTGTGTGTGTGTGTGTGTTTCAAAAGTATGTTAGTTCTGCAAATGTTTAAGGAAATCATATACAGTATTACCTTGGGTTGTGAGCATAATTCGTTCCGGAAACAAACTACTCATATTGCAAGCCACTGCTCATTTACCCAGTTAAAATGTATTAGAAATGGTTGCTCTTCTTGCGGAACAGTTGCAAACTAAGTTACTTGCAATCCAAGGTTTTACTATATATATTACCCATTTGTGAAATAATCATTGGCTACAGTTACATTTTCAAGTGCCACCCCTTTTCTCTCATACACTTTTTCGGCCTCTTCATCAGATTCCCAGCATCTGGCTGGGAATCTTCACATGCAGAAATTAGATGCAATATAAAGGAACAAGAAGGGAAAAAAGTGTCATTAATTTTAGGTCTATTATCAAATTTTCTATAAACCTAAATTGACTTCTAAACTGACACCAAAATGTGTATTTTGGTGGGTGAACATGTTACTATTTTTGGTTGTTACAGTACAGGCAAGATTGAATGTAACTGGATTACCTACTCCAGCAAAATTCTATTTTAGATAAAGAGTTTCTGGAGAAGAAAGAAATTCTTAGAGTAAACGCTTTGACCCGGATCACACATATTTTAATGTTGTCATTGGTTGTTGGTTTGTCACACAATTGTTCCAGAGATCAAGACAGGGACCCCAATTCTCAATCCGTAAACTCCGCAGCTCTCTACAATGAACGCACAGCACCTACACTCTTACAGGCTTGTGGAAAATGAAGACATGTAGAGTAGACTCTCTTCGCCTATTAACTGAAAAGTGGTTTTCTATCTATCTCAAGCCTATAATCTGATTTTTGGAAATGTTTATACATACTGTTTGAGCTCCATGTATCTGCTTATAATCTCTTAGATACATTGAAGCCATTTTAAATTGTACCTATTGTGGCTTTTTTTTTTGACATATTGCCTTTTTACAAAATTCTTAGAATTGCATTAGCCAATCTGAAGGAATGTCACAGAATACCAGCAGCAAACAAGACTTCAATCAAACTCTGATATCAAGTGAACAAAGCCATGGAAGGGGTGATCTCATTGAGATGGTGAGAGCTTTCCCCACATTATACTAAAGGATCTGGCAAGTCTTTTCACTTGGTGTTGATACAAGTTATCATACCTTTCAGCTCTATACCTTGTTTAGCTCCTTCTTCTCTAAGGAAAATTGCCAATTATTTGTTTGACTCAGGAATTCATAAAGTAATTGTATTTTTATATTTATTAAAAATAGTTAACAAGCATAATAGGCATACATACACAGATATATTTAACGTGCAGCATTAAGGAATCTTTAATATTTTGGTCAGACAATATATGCACAAAAAGAGGTACATATATTTGCGAAGAAATAATATAAGATTGGGATCTGCTCTATATATTTTCTTAGGTGTTTATATTAATAAAATAGGGAAGGCTTATAGCCCAAATGGGATCACTTCTTTGTTCTTCACATGCCTGATATTTGGCAAACTAACCATGGCCTAGTAGAAAATGATATATGGGAGAGACCCTACCACTGAACCCTGTTTTCAACAATAAGATAGGCTATTGATTCTATGAGGTTTAATAGAATTAGCCTTGGGTTCAAATTCAAGCTCCAATTACTCTTTACTGATATCACTTTGAACAAATCACTTAATCTCTCTGCATCTCAGTTTTTCATCTGATAACTGAAAATATTAATATATCTCCTGCTAGTATGCTTCCTGTAAGAATTAAGTAAGGTATATGTGAAGTTTCACAGAATGTAAAGAAGTATGCAAACGAAAGATTGCTGATCTTCATGCATGGCTTCAATCAGGTTAGCATCCTGCCTTTTCTTTAAGCCTCCCTCTACCTTTGAAGTTGACATAAGCAAGTTATCTAAGGGGATAAATGGATTTTGCACAAATATAGTTAAGTCACTTGCTTAAATCAGTTGGAATCACTGTCCAATCCACTTGAGACCCATGCCTCAGTAGTCTTAAAAAGATCATAATCTATAGGGTCACTAATATACTTTAAAATTTATTTAGAAGGTAAGCGGACAAGAGAGATATCATCCAGAATACATGAATGGGATGTAAATTTTTTCTCTGAATCCAAGAATAAGGACAGAATAAAATTTGGTTGCTAGCTAATGGATTTTTGAATAATATGTTATATATTCTAAAAATAACTTTATAGGTAGTCTCTTTATACTTTGGTAATGCATAAACACTATTATATATTTCCTCAGTTGAAATAGTAGTGTTTTAAAGCAATAAAAAAACAAAAGAGAAGATTTGTACCATGCTAAAATATTCCCAGATTAGTAAAATCAAAATTGAAATCTCTGAAAGAAAATTATGGGATTTTTTTATGATTTTAACATGGGATTTAAAAAACGTTGCTATGTGTTATAGCTTGTTACAGGGTATAATAAAATGAAAAATGATCTTTAAAACATTGTAAAATTGGCTCTTTAAATATCATACAGAATAATCCCACCAGCTAGTGTAAGGTTGAAATGGCTTTTCGTTATAAGGCTACCCATTTTAAGGACCACATTCGCCTTTTCATTGTTGCTAGAGCATTCAGTTGAAAGGAGTTTTACTTTCTTTAGTGAAGAATCATCTGAAAGTGACCTTCCGCAAAATCTAACTCTTGATTGAAAGCCAGGGTGAAGAAGGGATCTCTTTCCCAGGTGGTAACTCATAATCCTTTTGTCTGGATGACATCTATCTTAAACAGGCCAGAGTTTTTGTAAATAATTTATCTACATCATGTGAAAAAAGTTGGACTTTGGGACTCCATCAGACATTCTTGTTGATGCTAATAATTGGAAGATGGCTTCTACCTATTGGAGGCACGATCACTCGGGACCAACTCTCTGAACTTCTCCTTATGTTTGTGGGGACAGCTGCTGACATACTGGAATTCACAAGTGAGACTTTGGGAGAAAAAAATGTGAGGTAAGCAGGTCCTGCAATGAAAAGACCTTCTTTTCAAGGTCAGAGCCCATACATACACCTGTCTCTTTGTTTTATCGTTTATATTCTGCATTAATAAGGATTTTCAGTGTATCATATGCCCAATGGTAGATTCACAGAATTTGTTGCTGTTCAGATACATACTAGGTAGCAGCCCACTGTGGATGTAGATATAGATATATAGATATAGATAGAGATAGATAGATAGATAGATAGGTATAGATATACATAGATTTAAATACAAAAAGGAGGTATCTGCTACAGAAAAAGGGCAAAAAATATTTCCTACGAGTGAGAACAGAAAAGCTCTGTATGTCTGCAGGTCCACAGGTAAGGTGGGGACGAAGTTACCCGAGAACCTGCTGGAGAAGGACGACCACCCCTAGCTCATCTTCCACATTCTCAAGTGTCCAGGAATCTACAATCAATCGTAAGATTCTCTTCTAGAGTGCAGTATAGCTATAATTCCAAGAAAGCACCCAAAAAGGACTTAGTGAAACTTTCCCTCTACCTGGTTGGGAAATGTATAGTCCCTGGTGTGAATGGAGAATGGGGCAGATTACATTTTATTTTACTAAATTTTATTTTTAGTCAGTTTTGTTTAAAGTGCCCAAAGGCTTTCTGGAGTAGGTGCCTATAAATTAAAACTTATTGAGTTGGTACTTTTATTTTTGCCACAAGCAAATAAACTCAGAATCCATGATCACATCTGTTTATGGAACTACTTTCTTACCATTAGGGATTTAAGTCTCAGTGCCTGAATGTACTTTCAGCTTGGGTTGTTTTGCACTATGCTATAAAAATAAATTGCAATGAGGCTGGCTTTTAATGCTATGGTTTACGCTGTGTTTCTCAAACAACAAAACATAAAGCTGAGAAAAATACACCAACTTACTGAGTAAATTTAATATCCCAATTATAGCACAAAGTATATCTATAACTATAGGTTCCCTTTACATGATCATTTCCTGTCTCACATATACTTATTTTTTCTTATACCTCATTAAGTACACACAGAATTTTAAAAAGAATCAAATCTAAGTTGGTCCATTATCCTCAAAATGTTGACTTTAGTTTTGTAGCTTTAATACCTTATATTTGATTTACATTGTATAACAAATTTTCAGGTACTTTAGGACACTTATAATATAATGGAGTTATAAGAAAAACATGAAAAAATCATGACCAAGCACATAAAAACAATAACTACGGGCACCGTGGCAGGGACATGAGAATATAAAGGTGGCTAACTCCACTTATATAGAAATAAACACTTGTACATGTTAAATATCCCCCTGGATATGGGAGGCATATAGGGTAGGAAATGGGGTATTCATTCAGGAGGGATATGAATGCCATGAGGCATTCATTTATCCACCAACTATCGATTGATTATCTTGTATGTGCCAGACAACGTGTTGATCAGAGACCGGGGAGCAAATGGTGAGCAAGTGATGAGCGAAAGGACACACAATCCTATCCCAATCCAGGCGATTTCAGTTCAGCAATTCCGTGTGCCACTTACAAATTAATCTGAATGTTTCATATATCTTTTTTTTTTTCTCTCACTTTAAACTTGTATCATGTCCTGAGAATGGGATCAAATAAACGATGCCATGGTTTTTGTTTTCAAACTTCTTTTCAGGTTTCATGGTCTCAGATTGAAGTCATTTTATTTTTACTATAACTGCACTGTGTCCGTGACCTTGTGTCGTCTGTTCTCCACTCCTGAACATCTCCATCACTACTCAAAGACTCCACATCAAGGCCCAGAAAGAACCGCGAGTTTTTTCTTCTTCCTAAAACTCACCTCCCCAAGTTCTGATTTCATCTCGGGTTCCATCTATATTGCAGGAATTGACACTGCAAATCTCTGTCTTTTCAAAGAAGATATTTAAACCCCTCCCACTTTGGCATCGCTTTCCCCTTTGGCCTCAAAAAGACAATCGTGAAGAATAAATTTAAAATACATGTAAAAGATGTTTACATGTAATAGCAGAGGGAGTTATTTCATTATAAGGTACTTAGCATTACCTATTATTACAACATTTTATTTTCTATGTTATTTTATTCCATAATTTGGGCTGACAGATTTAGGAAAAAGCCTGCAACGATGTGTACATTACAATAATATCTACCTCTTTCCTACATCCTGGCTAAAACTTCAAATATAACTTTTTAACCTAAATCAGTTTCCTTCAATATGCCCACATGAAGTTAATCTGCCTTATTCTTATTCATTTACATACTGTAAATTTTTCTTAAAAGCTTGACTTTACACAACATAAAATTCAACTCTTGTGATTCTATGGTTCAATGACACTTAGAAAATGTATAGATTTGTGTAACCATTGCCAGAATCCAGATTCCTTGTGGTTGTTTGCAGTCAATTCTCACTCCCACTACCAACCCTAGGCAACCATTGATATACTTTCTTTTTCTAGAAATTTCATGTAAATGGAATCATAAAATAGGTAGCCTTTTGTGTCTGGATTTCTCATAGCATGACGTTTTGGGGGTTCATCCACGTTGCTGCATCTCTTGTTAGTCACTCCTTTTAAACTCCTGAATAGTATTCCATGCGTATACCACATTTCACTTAACCATTCAGTAGTCGATATACATGTGTATTGCTATTGTCTTACTATTAAGAATGATATTGCTATGAACATTCACTTACAAACCTTTCGATGGATCTATTTTCATTTATTTTGTAGATACCTACAAGTAAAATGACTGGGTTTTATGTTAAGTACATGATAAACTTTCTCAGAAACTGCCATCCTGTTTTCCAAAGTGGCTGTGCTTTTTATAGTCCCATCAACAATGCATGGGCATTCCATTTTCTTCATATTGTCACAACGTTTTCTTTCCCAGTCTTTTTGATGATAACCATTCTAGTGAGTTCATAATGAGATCATATTGTGGTTTTCGTTTACATTTTCCTGATGACTAATAGTTTTGTGCATCTTTCCATGTACTGATTAGCTATACATATATCTTCCTTGGTGAAGTGTCTGTTAAAATTTTTGCTCATTTTTCATTGGGTTGATTTTTTTATTATTATTGAGTTATAAGAGTTCTTTATATATTCTGGATACAAATCTTTTATTAGATACATAAATGTAAATATTTTCTCTCAGTATAAGCTGTTTTTTTAAAAAATATTGTCATTTGAAGAACATTTAAAAATTTTTTTGATATAGTCCTATATATCATTTTTTTCTTTTATGTAGTGTTTTGGGTGACATACCTAAGAAACATTTTTGTCACCCAAACTTAGAAATATTTTCTTCTGTAATATTTTGACTTAAATTTTTGTGTAGTGTGAAGTAAGGGTCTAAGTTCATGTTTTGTCTTGTTTTGTTTGTTTTTGGCATTGTTCCAGTACTATTTTTTATCCCAGCTGGGATCAATTGTCTTGGCACCATTTGTTGAAAAGACTATCCTTTCCCTGTTAAATTGCCTTTGCATCTTTGTGAAAAATCAATTGACCACATATGTAAGGTTTTTTCTCTGTTTGTTTGTTTTTTCTGTACAGTATATTAGGTTCCATTGTTCTATATGCCTATTTTTATGCCAGTACTGCACTATTGTGATTACTGGCATTTTATGGTAAATTTTGGAACTGGATACTGTAAGTCCTCTAATAATCAGCTTGTCAAATTTACAAACAAACAAAAACAACAAATATATATATATATATATATATATATATATATATATATATATATATATATATATCCTGCTGGAGTTTTGATAAGAATTGCATAAAATCTAAACATCAGTTTGTGAAGAAATTACATCTTAATAATATTTTCTTCCATTCAATGAACAGGAACTATCTCATCATTTATTCAAATGTTCCTTAATTTCTCTCAGCAATGTTTGTGATTTTTAATTTATAGGTCTTGCATTGGTTTTTCCCTCTCTAATGTCCTCTAGTACTTTTCCACTAGCTCATCCAGTGCTTAAAATCTCTCCTGCCTTCTGTTTCAATGAATTCAATCTCTCTGTCCTATTGCAATAGTCTTGAATAAACTCTTCCTTGCCTAATTAACTCTGTCTGGTGCAATGTTTCTTTGACATAGCCAAGCTGGAGAGGTATGGGAATATCCCAGGGGAAGAGTGCCTCAGACTCCCACTGTTCTGAACTGAAGCTCTACCAGTTTTTTTATGAATAAATGTTACTCAATTTGTTATTTGCCTTTGGTTGATTTCCAGGGATCTGAAGTGGTTGTTTTTGAAAATTTGTCCAGTGTTATGTATGTTTGTTAAGAAGAAGGTTTGCTGACTTTTGCATTCTGCTTCAGTCACCCTCCAACATTTTAACAAGTCTGAATTTCAATATCATTGCCATTAAGAGTTAAGTGGTTATTTACATCTTTGGAGATCACGCTGTGCAGTCTTTTTTTGAGCACAGTTCATTTATTAAAAAAAAAATCTGTTTCCATAGCATTACTGTTACTTCACTGTATTTCACCCCACAAAGAAGAATTTTCCTATGTTTATACTTTTTTTTAAAGCTCTTTTCACTTCATGAAACATTTCTTCCAGGCTAGATTAATACTTCATTTTCTTTCTTTTTCTCTCTTTCCTTTATTTTCCCCCTTCTCTGACGAGGTTTGTTGGATGCATTTTAAAAGGCTAGATGAATTCTATTCACTGATTATATCTACAGGAATATTTATACTTCCAAAAAGAAACAGTTAAGCAAATTAGCAATGTATAACTCTATTTTTATTTTTCAAGCAATAGATTTGGTGCACTGATGTACCAAATTCCAGTCATTTATCCTCTCAATTTTCCAAGTAGAGAGGTGACACTCACATCTATAATTATACTTCTCCAGATTTTTTTTCTCATCATGAATAGAGTCCATTGTCTACTTACATGTTTCTCAGTTGACATTTATGGAGACAGATTACAGATGAGAAAATGGGGCAAGACAATTGGGGGAGACAGTTATACAATGCAGACAATGTTGGACAAATTTACTCCAAAATTCCTTCACAAATTTTGAGTGCTTGCCATTTAAACTCAGTGATTTATTTACATTCCAACCTTTAAACTTCCTGAGTAACTTTCACTGTTGGACTTAATAATACAAATTTATCTGCTTCAAAAATTTTCTGGCCATCTTTTCCAAAGTTAGTTTTTGATAACTTTACTAGTATGTTTCTCAATACACACAATCTCCCATATTTTGTGTATGCTCAGATAATACCTGCATATGCAAAACGCATATATTCATTATTGTAAGATTAGAATTTGGCTTACTTAGGGCTAGGGTTAGTTTATTATTCACCCTTATTTTATATACACCCTTATTTTATACAATGATGAAATTAAAACACCAAGAGTTTAAGAAGTAGGTTTACATAATAATAGAAATAAATACAACAACTACCTGATAACATTTATCACTTTCTGTGTCCTAAGCATTGCTCTAAGGGTTTTAGTTCTGATACGTTATTTAGTCTTTACAATAACACTATGAGGTAGATAGTATCATTATCACCATTTTATAAACTAAACAGTAACAGGCAAGAGAAGTTGAGAAAGTCTCAAGTTTACACCGTAATAAAAATAATAACTAGTAGTGATCTGCCATAATTAGTCTATATCAAGTGCTGTTCTAAGAGCTTTATATGTTTAACATATTTAAACAACATACTTCATAAAATTATCATATAACATCTGATAGCTATTATTATTGTCATCCTCATATTGAAGACAGGTAAACTAAAGCATATAGATGTTAGATTACTTGTTCATATTCGTATAGCTAGCTAATGATCGATTTGGGTTCAGAGGCCCATATATCTTTGGTGAGGGTTGGAGCTAGTGTTTGAACTCTGGCAACCTAGCACCAGAGCTCATGCTTTACTACCACTTTCTGCTCCTTTGAAGGCAAATTGTTCCTGAGGTTTGGGTAGAATTATTGAAGTTTGGGATTAAAAGAAACTTCAAAAGTGACCACCTATTGAAAAATCTATTCTACATCTATTGCAAAATCCTCTCCAAAATTTTCTCAACAAGTTTTTGTCCAGACTTTCTTTGATAATTTTCACTAATAAAGAATATACTAACCTCAGGGGAAACTCATTCTATTTTGAGATAATATTATTAGAAAGTACTTTCCTTTTTGTGATGAGATTTGGATTATTATAGTTGCAACTAAAATCCTTTGAACCTGAATTGGCTCCCTGAAGCACTAGAAAATTAGTTTAATTTCTTTTCCACATGGTAGCTCTTTAAATGCATGAAATAAAGTTTTTAAGGAATCTTCTCCAGTTTTCAGTTTCTTAACTACTCCACATATAACACACATATAACATGTCTCTGAGTTCTCTCACCATCCTAGTCTCTCTCCTTTGGTCCAAAAACTTTATAAATGTTCTTCATAAAATATGGAGGACAAGGTATAATAGTTTGGATATATTCTGAACATTGTAGGATAGAGCAGGGCTAAAACTTTACACTTCCTTTATGGAAATAGTATAGTATGATGGTTAAAAGGCTGGATGCTGAAATTAGCTATCTAGTTTGGATTTCTGCTCCCAATACTTATAACCACATGACTTTGAACAAGTTTCATCAACTCTCTGTCTCAGTTTCCAAGTAGAGATAATAAGTGTATGCACTTTGTAGAGTTGGTATGAGGATTAAATGTGATCACAGAGTTAAACAGCAAAAAAACTGACTGCATATAGTTCAGACACTGTAGGGAAAATTATTTTAAAATTCAGGCACTTATTGAAGGTCAACTATATATAGATACTGACATTGCAAAGAGGGAAAAGTTATAGACTGTGGTCCTTAGTCATTTCCACTTAGAATTCTAGACTTTATACTTCTTGTCAAGTGACCTATAATTATTGCATTTGATTTTGGAAAATCACAAATCATGTTGCACTGTGGACTCAACATTAGATAATAGTAAGGGAAAATCAATGAGCCTTTTTATGGCTATTGCTGTGAAATGCTATCTCTTCTATCCTGTTCTAGGTCATCCAGTTACATCCTGTCAAGATCTTTTGGGATCCTGATTGTGTCTTCCAGGGTATTGGTTTCCCATCCAACCTCCATGTCATATGTGCATACAAGACGCCTACCATCAATGTCAGCAATCAAGTCATAGATGAAACATGAAGTTGAACAGATTGAAAGGCAGAACCTGCAGCAACTCATTAGAGAGCTCCCTTTGGGGTATCATTTACACAGGAATCCCCCTAACTATTCACACCCAGAACATTTCTTTTTCTTGTTAATAAGAACACTATAAGATGCTTTTTCATAAGCCTTGCTTAAATCCCAGTGTCAATTATTAATTTATATATCATTGCCTACCTAGTAATCGTAATTCTATCAAAAAAAGGAGAGAGAATATAATCATAGTTGAGTGCAATTGTTCTCTGGGAACCTGTGTTGATTCCTAGTAATTACTGTCTTCTACAAGGGCTCTCAGAATCTTGTACACAATCACTTATATAATCTAACTAGGGATTAATGGTAAATGTGCCTTTTGTAGTTTAAGATATAATTCTGTTTCATTTTAAAAGTTAGGACTTCATTTTCTTTTTTTTTGACACCAACCTTGTCTCCACCATTAACTGCCAAGACATAATGACAGCTTAGAAATCTCATTTACAAATTCTCTCAGAGTCTTGAGATCTGATTTTGCAGGGCCTCAATACTGAAAGCATTTAGAGGTATTCTTTACAATTACCTCATTTAGTTTGGTTTCCATGATGCTTTTCTATCCCTCTCCAATCTGAAAATCCTTCTTGACAGAGAAGTTGGCAACAAAATCTGTTATTACACCATTAACCTGAAATTGATAACTTCCTTTGTATTTTTGCTTTCCAAAAAATAACTTTGATACTTTTAAAATATCATTTGTATTTTGTAACATCTTTTCTTTAGGACTTTAGTCCTCAAGGCCATTTTCCTAGGTCTATGACTTCTGTATATTTGCCAAGTATGGGTCCTTCTTTTGGATATTCAACAACTCCTTCCTCAGGTATTTGGTGAATGTCTTTAATTGCCCAAGCACTGCTCTAGGCACTGGGCACAGAGGTGAATGAGACAGTGGCACTCCTTGACTTATAGCCTAGTATCTGGTGTGAATCTTTGAGTACTGGATTTATCTCCCCACTGTTTTTCCAACTGAGGATAGCTTTCTTTTGCATTCTGAGCTTTTAATTGTTGAGTATCTAGACCTTTTGAGATGTATTTTTAAATTAGAGTCTCGGGACCATAGAACAGTTGTCACTTTGAAATGTTTTGAAATTGGCCCTCTGAATTTCTAGGTCAATGTCTAACATTTTTGTCTTGCATTTCTTTTCCATTATGTTTCCATGATTTTACAAAACTAGACAGCAATATGGGACCAAGAGGCTTTGCCATAATTTACACAGATGTGGGCAAAGTGGAAGTTGGGTTTTAAGTCTCAGGTTTTTGGTGTTTTTTGAAACTTCCTTTTCATTACTCAATTATAATTTTTCATGGATTTCTAATATCACCAAGATATTTTGACAACACTCAAGAGGTTTATTAGGGAATGCTCCAGTATGGGAAGAAAAAGAAAAGCTTTTTCTGAATGTGGTCATATTTTTAATTATTAATTTAAAATTTTGTCTGCATTCTAGGAATAACCCTACCCTAGTCTGTGCCATCCTTTTTGTATGGACTTGGAGCATGTTGCAGTTCCCACTGGACCTGGCAGGTAAGTGTCTGGATGTTTGCACAAAGAAACAGAACATTGCAACTCTTGATTATAAAGTGTAATAAAGCTAAGGAGGCATTTGAGAAGATTATCATTTTAATCATTTTGATATCTCAATGTTAGTTTCTGTTCAGCTTAGATGACAAGTAGATTAAAATGTAGGAAAGCCATGGGCAGATCCACTTTGGTACTTGGTATGCCTGAGATAGCTGACTATAGAGCACAGCTTTGTAGTCACTTCATACATTGGTTCCATCACTTAAGATTTGTAAAACCTCCTGCAAATTCGTTAACCCATCTGGACCTCGGTTCTTCATCCATGAAATGGGGATGATAATCACAGGAGCTAAGGCTGAGGGTCATGGTGACAACTAAATAAGATATAGTTTGTATAGTGCTTAGCACAGTTTCTGGCATATAAATGTTATCTCTTGATATTTTCAAGGGGTCATTTTCGTGCCTTTGTCACACCCACAGATTAGAACATCAAAGGGAGTGAAAGCAGTTTCAGGGCCACATGGAAAATTAACATTTTCCTCAGGGGTGGCCTTGGAATTCCCACTGATCTTCTTTTAATAAAGACATAAACCCCTAAGACTTTCCAAGAAGTGAGTTGTTTTCCAGGCATTCCATACTAGTGATGCTCTAGAGCTACATGGTCTAATACGCTGCCTCCTAGTCACATGTGCCTATTTACATTTAAATTTAAAATTAACTAACATGAAATAAAATTAAAAGTACAGTTCCTCAGTCACAGTAGCAACATTTCAAATGCTCAATTGCCATGTATGGCCAGTGTATTAGACACAGGTATAGAACACTTTTACCACCACAGAAGGTTCTAATGAACAGCATTGATCTGGAATTATACCACCATTTCTCGGAACCCTGGAATTTCAATTTGGAAATTCTCCTGGATGCCACTGTACTTTGAAGAAATGCTAGGATTTAATATTTACATTTTCCTTAAGCCTGACTTCTTTGTATGGCACCCTGCCTGATGGCCTCAGGGTTAGAATTAATCTTAGGGCAGGGATATTTAATTTTTTTCCGCATCTTTTTTGGCTCACTTTGATAGGCCCAGAGGTTTTGGGGGGCCATTTTAGACCTCAGCATCTACTTTCTAAAATAAAATTGTCACCAGAATAGATGGAAAGAGTAGCTGTGGCTTTTTGGAAATTCCAAAAATCTATTACTAGTTAATAATTACAAACAAAATTATGCCAGTAACACACACATGCACACACACACACACACACACGTTTTGTCATAACGTGCCCTAGAAGGTACTCTGTACCCATTGATCAGCTAATGTATTCTGACAGAATATTACACACCATCACTTTAAATGTGGAATAATACTCTTAGGAGATCTCCTTTCCCTGACTCTATGATTGGTTATGATGTTGGTTTTCTATTCATTCTGATGATCCTCACCCTCCCATATCTTGCGGTTTACAGCCTTGCTAAGAAAATTTTTATTTAAGAAAGATATTTTGTAAACTTTCAGGGGTGATAATATTATGCAGCTGTTTGTAAAACAAAGACCAAATGTTACTTCTGATGAAATCACTATTGTATTTTCCAGCAAACAGTGCATTATGTTCACCCATATCAAAGCGCTTCATAACATTTGCAGGCTTCAGTAGACAAGGCATTCTTTGTTTGAAAACTCCAAATGGAAGGCTTCACTATTATAAAAGGATTGTTTCCTGCCCTTGACCCTGAGTTAAATTTACATTTTAGAAATTAAAATAAAAAAAAGTTCATTTGTTGATTGGACCGCCTTTTCCTCAACTGGAGAGTCAGTAATTATATCCAGTTTTTCTTGTAAACAGTGAAACAAAACCATAAGGAATTAGACAAAATAAAATACCAATGGTATTTATTTGGGCTATTTTTTCACCATCATAAGGGAAATATGTTTAATGTGAATGAAGTTTGAATTTGAATATAAGAGCTTCAATTTTCACAACACAATTTACACATAGAATCAAGTGAGTCAACCAGTAAACAGGTAGATCTCAAAGAGAGAATCCAGAAGGATCTGGGTCATGTATACTCTGTTCCTTCTGCAAACGTAGCCGTCAGGTACGTATACTCTGTTCCATCTGCAAACGTAGCCGTCAGGTAAGTCATTCATTATCCCAAGAGAAAGACAGAGTGAGAAAGGAGAGAGGAGCCCGGGGTGTTATTCTAATGGACACAAAGGCAGTCAGTGAATAGGGGCTCCTCTTCTCACAGATATCATTGGCACCCCAGTATTCAAAGAAGGAAACTGAGGCCCAGGCAGGTTAAGTAAGTTGGCCAGGATCGCCCTGCTAGACACTGAGGGAGCCAGGAGAGGCAGCCATAACCCTGACCTGAAGGCCTAGAGAGCCCTGCTGTACTGCCTCCCTACACTGTGGTCCCCAATGACAGACAAGGCGGTTTCTTCCCTTCATCATTCTCTCCAGCCTAGTTAAGGGTGCTTGTCCTCCGTGTGAGGGCTAGAAGGTGCTCTGAATTTTTTACATGGATAGAAACTAGAGGGCTGACTTTCTTTGGTGTGTTTTATTGAGAATATAACTGATTGTCAATTTGGATAATAAAATGACCAAGGATGTTAAACGGCAGGGTGGTTTTACCTGTTCCACCAGAAGGAAATGATAGAATCACTCTCAATCGTGAACTAGCATAGTACCCACAGTTGATGACTTGTTCCCATTTCATTCTGTCTTCCTTTTTGACATTTCAGAGAGATACAGTAATTGGTCTGTCTTGTGTTTGCAGTACAGCAGGTCGCGTGTCCTGCATCTGTGACGGCGAGGGGGTTCCCCAGCCTATTCTTCTGCCAATACAGTGCCGCTCTGTGGAACATTGGAATCAGTGTCTTCATACAAGACGGCCCCTTCCTTGCCCTGCGTCTCATACTGATGATCTATTTCAAAGTGATCAACCAGATGCTGGTGTTCTTTGCTGTCAAGAATTTCCTTGTGGTGACGTTACACCTCTACCGCTTGGTTGTGTTGGCGATGGATGTCCGTACCTCCTTGCAGCGTCAGCGAGAAGTCCTCAGAGGAGAGCACAGCCGCCCAGCTGAATCAGCTGTAAGTGGGGTCTCAGCTGAGGCCTGGAAGAGTGGTTCTAAGGAGGGCCTGGCGATGCCTTTGCGGGCCTCACCAGTCACCTCTGGTGACTCTCACCCCATACCCATGCCATAGGTATTTATTGTCAACAGCATGCAACTAGAACATTTGTTTTTTGTTGTTCCTATAAACATAATCTCCCTCGCTCTCTCTCTTTTGAAACATTAGCATATAATAATTTACAAAAAGAACAACATAAAAAGTGGTCTTAAACCTGTCAGAATATATAAATGGAGCCCCTCTACAATGGAGTCGGCGATGCCATGCCAGAAGAGCTGCCGTGCCGGTCTTATGCCTCAAACCTTTGGAATGTTAAAACAGGGCAAACTAACCTTTGGACTGGACCTAAAGCAGCTGTGTCCCAAACAACTGTTTGCAAGCATGACAAGAAAGCAGATGTTATGACTACTAGACTGATGGCCACCGGATTGAAAATTAAAAACATTGGTTAGAATTAGCATCACTGTGTTATGTTATCTGCAGCAATAGAAATGCCTTCCTTCTATTGATGGAATGGTTCCCCTTCCCTTTCTCATACCCTATGCCTTTGTCTCCTAATCAGAGCACTATGTGGGTTTCCACCGGAATCAGTGCATTCCAAAGAGCTATTATTATTGATCTCAAATAAATGCACTTTGCTGCTCACTTTGAAAGGTTATCAAACCAAAGCTGAGGAATTCTCTTCTTCTTTTTTTTTTTTAACTGAATGGAAAGAACTTTGATTAGTGGCTATTGCTACAAATGTTGTGTGATGGTATCAAATGCTACAGATGTTCAACCACTAAGTGATTTGTTTGTCTTGAACTGTTTGAAAAGCTATGGACTGGGTTACAATGACATGGCCTCAAGAGATTTAGTGCAGACATGGCTGTTACCTGAAAACAGAGAAGCTTTGAACTTTGGGTCTATTGTCAGACTCTCGCATCTGATCTTTTCTGCAATGTCCCTCTCACAGAAAATAATGTACATTCAGTGAATGCAGGACAAATAAAGGGGTATGTGCCTTTAAAATTACCTCACTGTGGGTTACAAGAAGTGATAACCGCTGCCCAGCTTCCATAGCATTGGGAGGCCTCTTCATGGCTGCACAGACCTTCCCAGGAAAATCATTTTTCTGGGCTGGTGTGGTATTCTGTCATGGCGCATATGCTCTTACAGAAATTTTACTGCTTTTGGCTAGGGCGCTGCAAAATTCACAGCAAGCCATTTCAGTTACAGATCTACTGGTTGCAAGGCAGGAAATACTGGTAATACTAACAAAGTCACAATTTCCACTCTGAACATGATTTGCGGTATTTGTCAGTATTTTTCTTACCTCCACTTCACCATCCTCTACAATGCCATGGCAATCACCATAGCTCCTCTGAACATCCATACTGTAGACGGCCTTTGGTTTCAGCGATGATATTGGTGGTGGAGGCTTGCATCAATCAGTTCCCTACACACAGCTATCTGTCCTTGATCAGTGATGGGGGTTAGAGTATGGCATAACATTGTCAAATCTGGAAATTTGCTTTTCTTCCCTGCAATTAAGAATGCATGTCTCCAGGATTGAAATAGTCATACTTTTCCTTTATACACCACTGTACTTTCCAGATAAAGGTGATTCAGAACCTTTAAAATGATTTTGCTTTTAAAGATATAGTGTGAAAATTTACCTGGCTATATCACAGTATTTATATGAGGCAAACAGTCCAAAACTGTTCTTTCAGGGTTCTGAGCATAGTTACTCCCTGTTATTATGCTCAGGAACTCAAAGGGACATTAAAGAGAAGGCAGGGTATGACCTTAAATAGGATGTGACTTATTGACAACTAATTGGGAAAATTTTATCCATAAGCCTGTGTGACATGATACCTGTTCAAAATATTTGATAAAAAGTTTCATAGGTAAATTCTGTTATTATACGGAAAAATTCATAATTTCCAGTGAATGCCTTCTTCAGTGCCTGCTATCATGTGTTTCCATTTCTTTCTTTTCTTCCTTGTGTTTATAATTTTAACAATATGATAATTGGAAAATTACACATGAAACTAATGGAATGCATTTATAATTTTCCATAATAATTTTATGAAAGATCAGAAAATTATATAAGTAAAAAAAAAACTTGACAACTTTTAAGGGCATGTTTTTAAAATGCCTAGAAATTGAAAGCAAAATAATAACTGCTATTTATAAAAAATTAAAAAAAAGACCAAAAAAATGCCTCAGCGAAATCTGTTTTTATGTTGACTGTTTTATGGTGAATGTTTTCCTCCACATGTATGTGATACTTATTACTGCAGATTTGCTCATGGCATATTTTTCATGCTTTAATTTTTTTCTTCCAGCACAACAAACACTGGGCCTCTAAAAATAGATAAGTACAAAATAGTAAGGCTGTTGCAAGGATATTTTTAAATGCTTTAAAATCTAAGACTTGTCTTGGCTTTGAATGAGTTTCTAGTGTTTAAGTAAAGTATTCTGTAATTAGCACTCCTCCGAAGGATAGAAAGGCTACAAGTCTAGCTTCACTTAAGAGTGCCAGGAAGGCGAAGAGTGCCCAGGACCATCTCAGCAATTAATGGTGGCAAAAAGAGGCACACTCTACAACGTTTTCCAGGAAAATCAGCTAAGGGCAGCATTTGTTCACCTAACTGCCAGTCCTCCCACTCTTCTGGACTTACAGTTTTATTGCGGGAAGAATAATCTGTATTCATTTAGTTTATTTAAAAATAAAACCTACGTCCAGGTTGTATCCCTAGGACCCCGATGAAAAGTTAAAAATGTATTCAGTTATTGTATGTTTTCATTGTAGATTGCTAAACATTGTAATGTTTGAAAACATCCAAGTGTTTGCTATAAAATGGCTAGAACAGCAGTTACCTCCCATATGTTGATATCCTGGGACTTGCTTCCGTTTTATCTGTAGTAAGATAACTGGCTCAGATCAGCTGCATAATGTGATGAAGGCTGGCACATCTGGACCATCCCCTTCAGAAACACACCCAAACCCAACCACGGAAGCAAGTGGCTTATTTGTTATTGCTGTTGTTTTTTAATTGCTTGATTAAAACTCAAATGTCCTTCCTAAAAACATATCATTTCACTTGTGTGAAAGCACAGCGTACATGTTTTATGATGCTGTATAAAAACACACCTCATAACCATTGGGCACATTTTCCTTACCCTTACTAGATCAGCCTCAGAGAATATGACTTGACATGGCAAGATTAGTAAGCTGTCTTTGTCTTTTATTATTTTGTTAACTTTTATTTAAACTGGAACGGATAATATATGAAAATAAAAATTTGCATTGGCAAATTCTTACTCATCTTCCAAAATGAAGATTGTTACATCCACTTATATTGGCTCTGTTGTCTTCCCAATAACATGTATCAGCACTTCAGGACATATAAGACCAGGAAGATATGGCTCAGAAATATCAGGATTCACTATTAGAATATTAATTATTAACTTGTAATTTAACAGAAACGTTTTTAAAGTCCTGGGAAGGCATGCATGTAGGTGCACAGGCTTTAGGTTTCAGAGTTCAACCTTGACTCTTATTCTCTTTGGCATTTAATCTCAATGACAGTTAATCAACTCTCCTGTTAAAAGATGCCAAGTCTCTGTCCACCTTTGCTCTACTCTAGTGCCAGGGAAGTGAGATGCTGAAATGTTGCAGAGCCTCAGAGATGTAAGTGAAAAAAACAAACCATCTTGAATTGTAAGAAGAAATTTTGGTGTTCAAGTAGGCGGCTTGGGGATGTTTATAGCTCAGAGGCTTTAACTAACCTTTCATATAATAGGAGTAACTCTAAACAAGGTTTGAATAATCAGCCGCTAAAGCCTTATATTTTACGTGTGTCCATCCTCTGAATCTTTCTTCCTAAAATATTGTATAAGAATATTTTTCTCTGAATTATTCATATTTATGTTATTTTCCTCTGAATGGCCTTTGTATTTTATTATATATACATTAAATAGTTTGTTTACAACTTTATCATAATGTCCATTTTTTTGCTTGAATTTCTTGTCTTTGTTCTCTACTGTAATTCATTTTTTTTTGTTTTCCAGCTATGTTTTAAAATAAAACTGATCTACTTAGAGTATGACTAAAGTGGCATTTCAAACTAGTGAGGAAAGACTGACCAATATTATAAATGATGTTGGGAAATTTTGCAAACCATCTGGAAAAAATAAAGTTAGATTTTTATCTCACGCAATATGTAGAAATAAATTCCAGATGGATTAAAGATCTAAATGTAAAACTGAAAACTATAAAATATTAGCAGAAAATATGGAATGTGTCTTTAGCATTTGGGGAATGGGAAAGATCTTTCAAAGCAAGACATGAATCTTAGAAGCTACGAAAGAAAAGATTGACAGCTTTTCCTATGTAAAGGTTTAAAATTTCTGAATGGCTAAAGGGATCATGAATACATCACTGTTTTTTTTTCTTTTCTGGAGAAAGGTGTCAGTACACTCATACAAGAGAAATGAGAGGTATGGAAATTAGAAAGGAAGAGCCAAATTTATCATATCTTTGTAGAAAATGGAACCTTGAACATTCCAGAAAAGCATACAAAAACCTAGGAAACTATTAAAATAATTTAAAATCATGCAAAAATCAATGGCTCCTCTACATATAAACAAACATCATACAGAATATATATTTGAAGAAGCAATTTCCATACATCATGAACTAGAACCAAAAAACACATAGGAATAAACTTAAGTATAAAAGATCCATGTGAAGAAAACCTTTAAATGATTTTGAGGACCATCGATGACTAATTTAACAAATAGAAATATATATTAATTTGGGGGGGTAGTTAGAGGACTTAACATTTTAAAATGTATCAATCTCTCCTAACTTGATCTATAAACTTAACATAATCTCCATTATGAGATCAATAAGATTTTAATTTTTAATTACTACCCAAGCTGATTCTAATAAAGTAAGCATGAAAGAATACCTGAAAATACTAAAAGGAAGAAAAAATGAGAGAGAGATTTCAGTATATTTAAATCTATTATAGAGCTACAGTAACCAGAAAAATAGAACAGAATAAGGTCAAGCAAGAGGCTGAAATACCTAAAGATTTTGATACATGATAAATCATGGGGGGCGGGGAGGAGTGGTGATAGAGTATTATAAGTTGTTTAAGGTTTTTAACATATCCAACTGGACCCCTGCCTCAATCCTTATGTCCAAAACATTTTCAGATGGATCAAATAATTAAATATTAAAAATAAAAATCAGAGAACTTGGCTTTTATAATTGCAATGATCAGAATGTTTTCCAGATAAAATATGAAACTAGAAACCACAGATGATTCATAAATTTCAAGTTGTAAAATTAAAATTTTAACATCATTACAATACCATAAATGAATTCAAAAGTTGAACTGGGTAAATAGTTTTGCAACAACTGTAACAAAGCATTAGTTTTCTTAATGAGCAAACAGCTCTTACAAATTAGAAAAAAAAAAAACACCCACTGGACTAATCAGCAAAAGATAATATGATTCACTGAATAAGGAACAGTTAAGGAAATGCAAATCAAACCCCAATGAAATATCATTTTTCAAATTCAATCTAAACTACAAGATACCCTTTTTGAATTATCAGGCTGGCAAAGATTCAAAAAAGTTTTAGAATGCTGCATTAGAGGGGATGAGGGAAGCAGGCATTCTTAGTCATTGCTAGTGAGGATGTAAATTACTACAACTTCTTTGGAAGACAATTTGGCAATATCAGTCAGAATTAAAAATTCATTAATCATCTGACACAGCAACTGAACTTCTAAGAATGTATCTTACAGACAAATGTGTGCAAAGTGTGTATGAGGCTACTCAGAGCAGTATAGTGTCCACCAGTAGTAGTTTCTATAGTAGCGCCGATAGGGTCATTATTAAATTATGGAACATCTACATGACATATTACCGTGTAGCTTTAAAAAATATATTGTAGATCCATAAATGCTAATTAGGAACAATCACTTAGTTTGCTACCTAAAATAAGGAAGCAAACCATGAGGTTAGTATGTTATTCTTTTTATAAATGCTATCCATACTTTTATAGATGGCTAAAAAAAACGTGTAAAATGATGCCAAGTTTCCAATGATTATGGACAGTCCCACTTTCTCTCTTTTTTTTTTACTTTTATGCTTTTAATAGTTTGAAAGTTTAAGTTTTAAGTATGCATTCCTTTTATATTTAAAATGATTATTAATAAAAAGAAATCTCATGAATTACAAAACCTACTGTCATATACAGATGCTCTATACCATTTTGCAAATAAAGCAAAAACACATCAATCACTTTCACCAAAGAAAAAGATTTTGCCATTATAACTAAAGATGATCTTTAGATGCTTTAGATAAATTGAAGGTTTAAACCATGTAAATGAGGATGTAAATTATTTGCCTTATGAAGTGTCAAACCCAGGGAAGTGAAATAATGAATAGATCTATAAGACCACAAAAAAATCAAACTGATCAAAACAAGTCACTGCATATTGATGAGTACCATGGAGATACTTTACAATGGCCAATCTGACACTTTCACCCACTCTGACAGTTTTGGAGCCACCAAAACCAACAAAAAAAGAATTTCACTTTGAATTACATAGTCAAGCTGATTTCCCCAGAAGAGATAGAGAACTGAAAGAACCCTGACAGAGAAAACTTCAGAAAGTATCTGTGCGTGATTCCAAGTTCATATTTGTAGCCCATTTAACTTGTGTATGTAAGCTTTTTAGGTTTTTGTCAAATATTTACTAAATTTGCAATTGCTTGTGGTAAATGATCAAATGGATTTCAATGCAAATCTTATCAGATTATTGAAGAAAACAAAAATTCCTAAACTAAGTATGTGTCCAATATCACATCATCTTTATATCTAAACTAGGAATTGTGAGCATGGAAAATTGGATCCACAAGACAAAATATGTCTTCTCTGTGGATGCTGTTGTTCAGCTTCTGCCAAGTGCATAACTGGAGAGTTCAGATGGTTGTGGGTCTGGGATTTTGGGGTTTGTTTCTACTTCTGGCAAAGAATGTTCCTCCCTATTATTCAAGGGTTCCCACATGACCTGAGTGACAGCTAACAGCTGGGTCAAAGCTATAATTATTTCATCAGCTCTCTTAGTTTCAACTAACTCCCATAACTAGTGGCTTTTATTATTATCTAACTTCAACCTCTTTCCTGGACTCCATGCCTGAATTTGCATTCCCTCCCCCAATATTCTGCAAGCATCACATACTCAGTATATATAGAATACATATCCTACCACACCCAACTCCCAATATACTGTCTTCTATATCACGGTCAGCAGCATCACCAGCCACTCGGGCTCCCATGCCGACATGGCCCCGTGGCTCTTCTGTCTTATCCCTCCTATCTAAGTAATCCCCTGATTCTTTTAGTTATGTTGCGTACAACTCCTTCCAAACTTTAACCTACCCTCTCTATCTCAACTGCCACTATCCTAATTTAGTGTCTCATCATTTCTTGCCCCAGTGACTGCAGCCATTTCCCAACTGGTCATCCAACCTCCTGGTTTAATCCCCCATAATAATAGTTCAAACTGCATTCAGAGCTGTTCTCAAATGCACAATTGATCATATGTGTCTTTTATTTAAAACACTTTGACGATGCCTCACTGCCAATAAGAACAAGCATAAAGTCTCAAGGATATCATTTAAGACTTTGGACAAGCTGGTCCTAACCTGAACTTTCAACTTCGTTTCTCATCACTGCACCCCCCCCACACACACACACACCTGCCACCATAGCACACCACTCGTGCTCCCCTAACCTTGTCATTATTCTTTCCATTGCTCTGTGTTGGTGTACGTTGCTATTTCTTTTTTCAGTGATGTCCTCCATGGCCACCACTCTATGACTGATTCCTTGTCTATTTACCCCTCACCTCTCCAGTGGCCCATTTCCACATCCAGAGTTGATAGCTAAGAGAGGGAGAAAGAAGCATCCCATCAGCCGAGACTGCTCTGTACCCTGTGGGAACCCCAAGAGAGTGAGTGTAGGCTCCTCTGAGAACAGAGACACCCTCCCATCCTGGGTCTCTGATTTCTAGGCTTTCCTTTGAAGAAGCAGTGCTGATGAGGACACCAGACAAGGCAATGTGAATATAGAGCTATGGGATTTGTCACTTGCCATGGTCTTGGACGAGGGTCTGCAGGATAAACAATGGGTCAGTGGTCCCCAGAAGTTTTCCCCTCTTCTTCTCAGGTCTGGCTGAACTATACACTTTCTCCTTCATTTACTAACCTAACAGCAACATTCACCAAAGTATCCACTTGTATACATTCTTTTGGTACCATATATATATATATATATATACATATATATATATATGCCCTGCTTTATTCATTTAGCATCATTTCTTGATCTTTTCCTAATGTTAACTATTTTTGAGAACACAACGCCTACCTACTCCTCTGTGTGACTGTAGAAAAAGACCTAATTACAAATACCATAGGCTTTCCCAGCCATCATCTTGTTGACACTCTGTTTTTGGTGCCATGAATGACTTTTCTTTGTGGCCTCCTCCATTCCCACGATGATAGGTTCCTTCTTATCTATGGGTCTATTTAATTCATTTGCTCTCTAAACGTACAAGTTCTATCTTATCCATTTGGGCTAATCTCTCCCTTTACAATTTCACTCCCATCAGTAACCCTGTAAATCTACACTGCCAGCTTTTCCCCGAGCCTCTCTTCCACTTTTGCATGCAGGTGTTCTTCTGGCACGTCCAGCTCCACATGTCCACCTTTGGATTTGATATATTGGGTGGTCGGGAAAGTCATGACGTATTTTTCTATGCTTTTCAATGCAAAAGTGCATCATGACTTTCCCGACCACCCAATATGTCCTCTCCCAAATCAATTCCTTCCCTTGAAGCCTCAATCTGTGTTACCAGAACCACCATCAATCCAGTCATTTTGGCTCAAAAATTTTGACTGACGCTCCTAATTCAAAGATTTGCTGCATCCTGTTTCTTATTTTGCATAATGAATATAATTTTGTTGCTTTTGTCTGATTATATGTCATACAAGTATGTGTTCAATATAAGGTTTCAAACATACAGAACAATGAAAGGAGAGGGTGAAAAAAATCACATGAAATCCCACCTTATTACAATGTTCATCATTAATATTATACTTTGGAGGCCATTCCTTTATGAAACTTTTATGTCATATAGAAAAAAATGATAGACTGTAGGTATATAAACACAGTTTATATAAGTGGGATAATACACTAATTAAACTTTTAAAGATAAAAAACATCAAAAGAGGTACAAAAACTGTGGCTTAATTTAAATTTGTATGATGAACAACTTCAGCTCCCACTCTTGTCAGTATTACCTCTATGGCGGCATATATAACCTCATGTGGAGAAATGAAAAATATCTAGGCATTTTGTGTATTTGCAGCCTGGACCAAATGGTGCTGTGGTACACTCTGGAATTGGGACCTTGTTTTATTTATCTTTCTGTGCCCCATAGAGATTCTCTTGGTACATGTGGAATAATTTGTTTGCACTATGAATGATCAATGGTATCAATAAATATTTTTTAATGCCTACTATATGCAAGTCACTGCTAACTATGTGAGGTATACACAAACGAAGATGACACTGCCCTTGCTTTTGAGAAAATTTATATCCATGGTCTTCTAAAAAAATGTTTTTATAACCTCCATAAACATTGCTCCCTCCCGCCTATCTTCATGCCAGTGAGGGGCTCATTTTGGTTCCCTATGGGTTTTGTGTAGAACCTGAAGTCCCCAGCCTTGCTCCCAATATACACTTTGAAATATGGGAGGGGATACAAAAAAGAAAGGAGATCTGAGAGGGCTGAGTTAAAAGAAATGCGAGTTGTTTATTTTCTGAAGACAAGTTTTATAGGTTGATGGCTCCTGATCCTTATAGGATGGCCACTGTAGGATTGCTCAAACACTGCAAGTGCTTATCTTGGACCTATAATGATTTGCAGCTATCAACTCCTGTCCTCTTTTCAAAGGTTGCAGCTATTTGGGGAGGCGTCTTTCTGAACTCAGCCATATTTCTAAGCTTAACGTGGTGGGATACTAGTCGTGTGGCACCATGGAAGACTTAAAACCAGTGTATGGACCTTCAGAACAACCTAAAGTGTATTCCTAGTAGATGTTCAGGGTAGAAGATGCTTGTTTGTCACATGTGAGGAAGCAGTGAGCTTTATTTTTACAGATGCACTGGGCTGAAGGGAAGAATACTTGGGGTCAGCACATTCCAGCACTCTCAATGCTAGACAGCCTTAGAAGGGAGACGCACTTGGTCTATACTTGAAGAGATTACAATCTTTTCTATTAACTCTTTGCAAATACTTTTCAAAAAGTTGAAAATCCTACTTAAGCAATACATGACATAAAAGCCCTAGAGAACATGCTAGTTTGGGGAACACATCAGTCATTTCCAAGAGCAGATGTCCACCACTTCTCTCTTTGGGGAAGCAGTCCATTAAGCTGTATGCTGCTGAGTCAGATGTGACAAAAAAGTTCATTCGGCCTCGTTTATTTTGGCTTGAGAGTCAGCAGCATGAGTGACAATGGCTGATATTTCTGGATCTGCCATTGCTTCTACTTTAGAGACTGTTGAGTCAGACCTGATTCAACGCACAGACATCTCTGGCTCTGCAGCACGTACATGCCTCTCCCTAGCCTGAGCTCTGCCAATCTCTTAGCATCCTGGTAAATTGTGTTTTAAAATTGCACACCTTACCTGCACAGATATAAAATCAGCACTGAGCAAAATAAGGTTACCCTCGCGTCTCTGTGTTCTCAGCTCTTCCATAGAAGACTACGCATACAGGCACTGATCCATTTATTTGACCACACATGGCATGTCTGAGAGTGACAGCCGCATCTATCAAAGCTGCAGTCCCTCGAAAGGGATCATGTTCAGGAAATATCTGAGCAGCTATCAGAGGATTCATCCCTGCCTTGTGGCTTTTCTAAAACTTAATAAAAATCTCCTTTTCAATCAGAATCTTCTGAAGAATACAGACCTCATTTCTCCAACTTCTTGTTGAGAGCAGAGCAAACAGCAACTATTATAATTTCTATGTTTTAGCTTCAACTGCCTCAAAAATGCTCTTTCATATAATGTCGCGCTGCTGGCTTCCTTTCAAATGTTGCCCACACAAGGATTTTACTCAAGATCTCTTCTGCTCTTCATTTGTACTTTGAGTCACATACCTTTGGAGTGTTTGAGCCTGAAGGGATGTTAGATCTCCTTAGTTTTTTGAAAGTCAAGAAATAAAAGCGGATGAAGAGGAGGGTCAGGTCGTCCTAGTTGTACTCTAGTGAATGGCAAATTCAAGACCATAATGACCTGTCAAAAAAAAAAAAAACAACAACATACAATAAAACAAAAAATTAAACGTATTTGGTTTCCTGCTACTGACAAGCAATATCTATAATACTTAAAATAATTTCATTTGACCAACATTAGTTTATACAACACTCTCACATCAGTTGTTTCATTCGTCACAACCACTCTGACGCAAATTTTTTTTATTTTTTAAATTTTTATTTATTTATTTAATCAAGGAGGAAATGAGCACCCAGAGTGGCCAAAAAAACTTGTGAAGGTCATGACTTTGGGGCGGAACAGGGGCACAAGTCCAAAGGTTAAGATCCCCAGGCAGGAATTCATTATGAAATGATTCTGTTCCATCAGTGAGCAGCAGTGAACACAAACCAACTTAAAAATTTAAATAGATTTGCCTTTGCCATTGGTCTGAAATTTTCCAAACTTAGCTTTGACCGGCACAATTGTCCTGCTGCCCCTGAAAGTGGGCCCAAAGCCACTTTCATGACAACATCTGTCAGCATAATCAGAATGCGATTCAAATATCGCTCTATTTCTTTGGGCCTGAACTGCTTTGCTCCCAACAGCTTCCATCTTTAGGAATATTAGAGTCATTTGACTGCCTCTTCCCTAAGAGAGATTTGTAGTGTTCACATTTGCGCAGAGAAAACTGTTGCAGTTGTTTCTGTGGTATTGGGTTTAATTATAGCAGAGTGGTTTCTTTTGTTTCTTTTCTTTTCTATATTTAATGGAGCTGGGAAAAATAAAACTCATTTTTCCTCCTTTCCACTCTGAAACCCTTACCACATTTTCTAAGACAATTAAGATAATAAAAGACAGACACAGCGATAGGGAATATGGGGGGCCTTGTACAGAAGCCACTCTGAGTTCCCAATGCAGACGTCTCCCTCCCCTCCCCAGCCCTCCCCTTCCCTTTCTAGGGCTTTCTCTTTCATAGAGGCACTTTAGGTCACTGGGGACAAGAGTCTGCAGCAGGTAAAAGTGAAACTAAGACAGCGAGGCTTCCTTTCCCTTCTTTCTCTGACTTCTTCATTTGCATAAATTAAAACCTATTCTAAAGTGGTTTCTCTCTTTGGCATGAAAATAAGTTCTTCAGGTGCTCCTTAAATGCCCCCTTGCCACATCCTATCTTCTGCTTCCTTAACTTTTCGTCCCTCAGTTTCCCATGGATAGCTCTTGTCAGGCTGATACACACACACACACACACACACACACACACACACACACACACACACACACACATATATATATATATA